TGAAAGTGGACATGTTTAGTCCAACCCTTGTATTTCACAAAGGAGGAGACTGAGACCGGAGGTGAACAGACTAGCTCGAGTACCCAGCTCAGAAATGGCCAAATCAAGACGAACATCCAGATCGTGACCCCCACATTAGTGTTCCCTGCACCCACCTGGTTTCTTTCAGAGGCCTTCCCAGGAAGACAGGAGTTGGCTGAAGGGAGCTCCTGCCATAAAATCAGTATCACTTTATCAACCTACCGACCTCAGCGGAAGATCCAGCAAAAAGGACAGCTGCTGCCTGCAGACAAAGTTCACCTGGGCGCTTAAAGGTGCTTCCCCCCCGCCAAATGATTACAGGTGTGTTTTCAAGCTTGAGGATGGTAAGCAATCCTAGCGTGGTGACGAAGATCCATCTGGAAGCCCTGAAGAAGGCAAATGACACTGACGATGAAAACCAAGAAACACCCTTTGTGATGGAGGGTCCCAGCCCCTTACCCAGACTACAGTCCTGCCACCAAGTCAGGGACCCCGCGCCGGGTTGAATCCTCTGCTGTTACCGTGTGAAATTCTCAAGAACTTAACAACAAGGTGCCTGGCATCTTCATTTTGCACTGGGCCCCTCAATCACGTGGCCAGGGCTGCTGCCTCCCTGGAAGCCATAGAGGGGTGGCCCGTCTACACCTCTTCGTCCCCCCATCCCTGCAGCCCTAGACCAAGGGGACCTAACGGAAGCCCTGCCATTTGCACCTCCCTAGGCCTGGCCTCGGGAGGGGAAGAAGGCTGCGGGAAGAGGCAGGGGAGCGGGAAGAGGTCCACACCCTCGGGCAAAGGGCCCGCTAACCAGCGGCCTTTTCCAACCCCGGCAAGCCAGGCGCCAACGCAAAAGTGCGCCCCGGCCCACCCCCATCCCCTGCGCTGCCTGACTTGGTTCCAAGGGTTGCCCCTGTCCTCCTTGCCCCAGAAGCGAGGCCTTCCACGCCGCCTTCTGACTTCCGACGGGCAAGGGGGCCGGGTGGCCGAGGCTCAGTTTGCTGGTAGGGGAAATGGGAACGCGCTGGGCCCTCGCGGGCGGAGGAAGCAGCCGGGGGTGCAGAGCCCGAGCAGGGTGCACTTCCGGCCGTCGAGCCGCCCCGCCGGCACCTCGACTGAGGGAAAGTTTGGGGACAGGTGATAGCGGGGAGGTGCTCTCGCCCTGGTCCCAGGGGCCGCGGCTCTGATGGACAGGAATGACGAGCCGCCCAAACGCCGGGGCCAGCGACCCAGAGCTGCCGCAAACCCCGCGCCTCGGGGGCGGGATCACGGTGAAGGGGCGGGGCTTAGGCGGAGGGGGCTGGCACTGTCATGAGTCTATGAATAAAGTCTCAACGAGCTGTTTCCCCGTAGCGGTTCCATAGTGTAGTGGTTATCACGTCTGCTTTACACGCAGAAGGTCCTGGGTTCGAGCCCCAGTGGAACCATGGTCGCGAGGCGGCTCCTTTTGCTTCCTAATCCTTCAGGAGTTTGGTGTGTTTGGGTTTGTTTTTTTTTTTTTAAAAAAAAGGGGTTTCGGTTAAACAAACAAAAACGCTACCACAAAGTGTTTTTCTTTGTCCTTTTCTTCTTTTTAAAATTTTTGGCATGTTTTTCTCGCAGAAGTGAAATAACAGATACCCTCTCCTATCCCACAAGGTCGCTGCCGCCAACGTCTGACATGAGAAATAGTGGAGGGCAGGGGCCAGGCGAAGTCCTAGACCCAATCCGGCGCCCCCGATCCGGCCAGGCCCTACCCCACCTCTCTTCCCAGTACGCCTCGGAAAATCGGGCGCTCGGGGAATGCACCTGGCTGCCCTTTGCCTGCAAGTCAGCAAGGGCCGGTCACCCAACCTCCAACTAAAATGTGGCAGGCAATACAGCAGCGCTTTGACTGTAGCTGAATTATTAAAGGTCGATCATTATTATGACTCTGATTAAAAGTTCTATTTTTCATTAAACTCTGATGTACAGAGCAAGAAAAAAAAAAAAAAAAACCCACAGTCCTTTATAATGCAGCAGTAGAATTTGTGGAATAGAGTTCATACACAGTATAAAATAAATGTCAGGCTTGTAGACATTCAATAAATACTGGTTGAATGAGCAAACGTTTCTCTAGTTTCTTTCTGTTCCTCTTTACTATTTCATTACAGTTTCGTTTGGGGAGTTTATTATTTGTTTAAATATTGGCTTTTTTATCTTTGACAAGAGGAATGAGGGTGTGGGCCATGGTGAGATGGCGGTAGCAAAAAAATAAAATGAGAAAGGTCACTCAGTATTTTTCTCTGCATTTTTCAACCTAGTTGTGCATCCTTAACAGTGTAGAAATTTGCGTCTTTTCCTAACTTAAGATTATAACTCTTTCCCTGTTATTACAATCACTTCAACTTTATTCTTTTTTTAAACCACCTTAACCATCTTTTTTTCTTTTCTTTTTTTTTTTTTTGAGACAGAGTCTCGCTCTGTCGCCCAGGCTGGATGGAGTGCAGTTGACGGCGTCTCGGCTCACTGCAAGTCGCCTCCCGGGTTCACGGCAATTCTCCTGCCTCTGCCTCCGAGTAGGCGAGACTAAGGTGTTTCCACCCTCTCCTGGCTAAATTTTTTATTTGGTATTTTTAGTAGAGGCGGCGGTTATCACCCCCATGTTAGCCAGAGAGGGTTCTTCCTCTCCTGAACTCGTTGATCCGCGCTTAGGCCTCCCAAATGCTGGGATTTCAGGCATGAGACCCACTGCCGCACACCACCTTTTTCATTTATTTTTTTGAGACAGAAGTCTAGGCTCTTGATCACCCAGGCTGGAGTGCAGTTGGCGCCGGATGCTACGGCTTACTGCAAACGCCTGACCTCTGGAGTTCAGCGAATTCTCCTTGCCTTCGCCTCCGATGTGCGTAGGGCCAGGTGCACCACCACCGATTCCAGTTAATTTTTGGATATTTATTAGGTAGAGACGAGGTATCACCATGTTGCCGGCAGGGCCTGGTCTCGAAACTCCTGACTTCAGTGATCTGCCTTGGCCTGTGTTGGCCTCCCCAAAGTGCTGGGATTACAGGTGTGAGCCACCACCTCCAGTCCACTCTTAATCATGCTTTTTAAGGTACACGTGATCAGAGTAGTGTTAAGGTATATTCGACTGTTGTGAAACGATTTCCGGAACTTTTTCATCTTGCAAACCAAACTTGAGTTAACCTATAAAAGAGAATGACTCCCCTTTCCGCCTATCCTCAACGTTTATTCTGATGATGGATGTAAAAATAATAGAATTATGTCTTGCACTGTGCTGGAGTACATATTATGTATATTAATGATCTCTTTAGCCTCAAAATAAAACTCATAAGAAAGTAGGCATATATATATTCATCATTAGATGAAAAAGGTTATGGGCCGGAATGATTGTGATAGTGATATGGTCACATGTAACACGTGCTATGACTGCGATATTGGCAGCAGTCTGGGTGTGGAGTCATGTGCGCTTAACCCTAACGCGCATCACTCGTCGCTGATTTTACTTAACCAGCCCCCTAACCTTGGGCACATTAAGATTGATTTCGCAATTGTTGTGTGCTAGAAAGTTACGCAGTCCCTAATGCCACACTTTGTGTAACTGTCCCTCACGCACCACGAAATTTAGCATTTTCCTGGAGTGAATAGTTGGTGCACATGATGCCTGAGTTGCTTGTTCAAAGAAGGGCAATCATGACATTATTCATACAATTCTGAAATGTTA